GCTGGCTGCGTTGGCCCTCTGCCAACGGCCGGGCTGATTGGATTTTTGTCTAACAATGCCAGCGATACTCACTGGAATGACGAGTACCTCGGGGTGGGTGCCACGGTGTCTACGGGGACGACGACGAAGGTTGAGAATGGCTTCCAGCTGGCAGGGCGCGGCACACGGATTGTGTGGCCAGTGGTCAGGCAGGAGGATAATCCAGTGCGGAGTTATGTGGGTGAGGAGCTGACGCTTGTGGCGACGGTGACCATCAGCAAAGTTCCAACGGGCGTCACTTCGTTGCTGGGCGTGAACACGGTGGGCCTCACCGGAGATCGTCTGGGGCTGTGGCACGACGAGCATCAGCACTGGAAGACGATGCTCAGGGAGGAAGGGAATGCATCAGCGGTTACGTGGGAGGTGGGGACGGTGTACTGGGTGGCGCTCACGGTGCAGAAAGACGGCTGCTCGGCGTACGTCGATGGGCAGCTTGTGGGGAGTTTGGGGGATCAAGGCGTATCTCCTTTGGAAGCTCCACATTCCTCTGGAGTTGGTCTTGGGCGGCCTCTGCTGGGAATGCCATCTGAAATGATCTCAAACATCTACTTTGAGGGTTACGGGGATGACACCGAGGAAGACACAGAGAGCCACGTGACGGTGACGAACGTCTTGTTGTACAATCGCTGCTTCAACGGCAGTGAGATTGCGGCACTGATGAGGAGGAAAGAGGTTGGGACGGCGCCAGGCCCGAACAACGCCTCCGTCCCACATGCCAACAGGGTTGTGGAAGCAGCGTCAAAGGAGGTTGGCGGCGGCGACAGTTCTGTGCGTGGGCATCTGTCTGGAATGCTGTTGCCGCTGCTTCTGCTGCTTGTAATGTGGGGCTTCTCCGCGCTTTGCTGACTGGCGACGCTGTGGGCTGCGCCGCGCAGAGGGAAAACATGTGCGCCCCTAACTTAATTATGGATCCATTTCGGATCATCTTGCTTTTCGTCCCGGTCATGGGCTGGTTCCCCCGCTGGGTGGAACGCCGGGCGCAATTCTTCGTTTCTTCATACTTTTTTTGTTTTGTTGCTTTGATCACTTTACGCAGGGAGGGGCGGGCACCATTTATGGCTGTCGGAGTCTCTCGCCCACACGCGCACAGGACCAGCGGCTTTCTGTGCGCTGTGCGGAGGAAGAGACGAGGGCGGGCGGGACGACAACACGCTGAGGTGCCCGCAATGAACGATGAACGCTGCGTGGACATGAGGAGACCGAATTGGGACGGAACAAATATATATATTTTTGTTTTGTTATTTGCGGAGGCAGAATACACGCGGTGTGTGTGGCCACCCGAATCTTTTTATGTTGAAAGTGTTTCCGTTCTCCTGTAAGTTTTTTTTTTTGGTTCCGCACAGCAAACGTGCGACCCACTGCGGGTTGCACTGCGGCGCCGTGCCCAGTGTGGCTGTTGCACCGGTTTCTTTCTGACCTTTTCGTGGCGTGCGAATGTGTGTGCCCGCGCTCGTTTTGCATATGTTTTTTGGTTGCCTTGGGCATGGAGAGGGTTTTGTTGGTTCCTCCGTGATTGCTTGGATCGTTGCGGCGGCGGCGGGGACACCGGGTGCAGAGTGTGCGCGCGGGCTCACACGCTTCCGCCGCGGTGTTGGAAGGACGGCAGGTATTTAATATTATTTTGGTTTTGCTGGTAGGACGGGGGCAACGTTGCCTCGCGCCGAGGGAAAAGTTGGGTGCGTCTGGCGTTGGCGTTGGTGAGTGGAAGGGACGGAGTATGTGTGTGAGTTCTGCTGCCCCCGCTGCGTGTGCATTATTATTATTATTATTATTATTTTTCTGTCACCTTTTCACCCCTACTGATGCTGGGCTTTGTGTGGTTGTGTGTGCGACTTTGTCCCGTCACTCCGCGCTACGTGTTTTGTTGCTGGTGTCTGCGGGTGCAGGGAAGAAGTGAGCACAAATCTAAAGAGGTAGCGCAGCGGCAGTAGAACCACAGCAGCCAAAGAGGTCTAAGAAGGTGGACGGTTTAAGTTACACACGTACACACAGACAAGCGAAGAAAAAAAGAGGAGGAAACAACAACAACAACTAAAAAAGGGTAAGGAAGGAAACAATGATGATGCGGCCACAACAGCAGCCAGTGATTGTGCTGAACCAAAAGACGGAGCGTCAGAGCGGTCGCAAGGCGCAGATGAACAATATTGAGGCAGCGAAGACGGTGGCGAGTCTCATCAGCAGCACACTTGGGCCGTGCGCAATGCTCAAGATGATTCTTGACCCAATGGGCGGCACGGTGTTGACCAACGACGGAAACTGCATCCTGCGCGAGATTGATGTGGTGCACCCCGCCGCGAAGCACATGCTGGAGCTCGCGCGGACTCAGGATGAGGAGGTGGGCGACGGCACCACCTCCGTCATCGTCCTCACGGGCGAGATCCTGAGCCTGGCGCAGCCCCTGCTGGAACGCAACATCCACCCGTTGAAGATCGTGAAGGGCTTTTCCCTTGCGTTGACGGACGCGCTGGCGGCGATTGAGGCGGTTGGCGCGACCATCGACCCGAACGATTCGCGGCAGCTGGAAGGGGTGGTGCGGGCGTGCCTGGGCACTAAATTCAACTCCCGCGAGGATGATCTCATGTGCAAAATTGCCGTGACGGCGACGCAGCGGGTGGTCGTGGAGAACCCAAAAACAGGAAAGAAGGAGGTCGACATTAAGCGCTACGCCAAAATAGAAAAGATCCCTGGCGGCTCCATCTTTGACAGCGTCGTGCTGGATGGTGTGATGTTCAACAAGGACCACATCCACGCCAAGATGCGCCGCTACATTGAGAACCCCCGCATCATTCTGCTTGACTGTCCCCTGGAGTACAAAAAGCCGGAGACGGCCATCAACGTCGAGGTTGCGCAAGCGACAGACTGGGAGTCGCTGCTGAAGCAGGAGGAGGACTACGTGCGTTCGCTCTGCAACGTCATCATCTCCTTCAAGCCTGATGTTGTGATCACGGAGAAGGGGGCATCGGACCTTGCGGCACACTTTTTGTACAAAGCTAACATTACCTGCATTCGACGCCTGCGCAAGACGGACAACAACCGCATTGCCCGTGCGACGGGGGCCACCGTCGTTAGCCGTATTGAAGAGCTCAGGAATCACCACATTGGACAGGCAGGGTTAATGGAGATCAAAAAGATAGGGGATGAGTACTTTACCTACATCACAGGCTGCAACACCGGTACGGCGTGTAGCGTGGTGCTGCGTGGTGCCAGTAAAGATGTCCTGAACGAGATGGAGCGTAACCTTCATGATGCTATGTGCGTGGCCCGGAATATTATTCTCGACCCACGTGTAGTGTACGGTGCTGCCGCGGTGGAAATGCACGTCTCCTCCTATCTTATGAATCGCTCTAAGAGCATCACAGGTGTCCAGCAGGCCGCCTACCAGGCCGTGGCGATGGCACTTGAGGTGGTGCCGCGCATCTTGGCAAGCAACTGCGGCGCAAACGTCATTCGCACCGTCACGGAGTTGCGGGCGCGCCACGCCATGCCAGACGGCGAGTACTGGGGTGTCGACGGCACCACCGGCGAGATTGTTGACGTCCGCGTGCTGCAGGTGATGGAGCCGGCCGCTGTGAAGGTGCAGGCGCTTAAGACGGCCATTGAGGCCGCCTCCATGATTCTGCGCGTGGACGACGTTGTGTCCGGCACGAAGTTGCGCCACGAAAAAGAGAAGCCCGCGCCGACTGCGGCAAACAACGACGACGACCAGGGCGACGCCACGGCCGCGGAGTGAGTGGGGAGGCAAAGGTGGAGAGGGTGGTGGCTGCGGTCACCGTTTGCTTGACCGCCCGTAAACATTGTTTCCCACATCTTCTCTTTTTTTTTATTATTTGCGTTTCCCTGTGGGCGGGGCAGCGAGGAGAGGGGCGCAGATATTGTTTTTTTTTTTTTTTTGCCCTCTCCGCCGCGTGCTGGTGGGGCGTGCGGCCGCGGGCTGTGGGGGGTGGGGGGTGCCGGCGGGAGAAGCACCCGCGGAACGACCCACCGCCTACTCTCAGCTTGTTGCAGCAAAAAACAGCAACGCTGGAGGAACGAAATAATCCCACGCGGTTAGGGAGAGAAAAGAACAGAAAAGAAAACGAGCAGGCAAACACATCAAGTGAAGGAAGAAGAGGAAAAGAATTGTAAGAGAAAATTTTTATTATTTTATTTTTACGTGCGTGCTGTGTCTGCGTGTGTCTTCTGGACGCCGTAAAGGGAGGGGGCGGTCGGACGCACTTTTCTGTGCGTGCATGTGACAGGCTGCGGTGTGGGCCAAGGGCGCCGCGCCTGACAGGCCTTTCATATGAAATGCATGCATGGCAGAAGGTGTGCGCACATAACTCTACATATCTATATGTCTCTACTTGCTGCCTCAATGACCCCATGGCTGGGGAGGGGGTGAAGATGTCGCTGCGGTGACCAGCATTGACGTCGCCACGCACGAACACGTCTTTGTTTGTATTGTGTTGTTCAGCTATTTTTTTGTTTTGTTTTCTGCTCCTTTTCTTCTTGTCTTTTTTTTTTGTGGATGTTGCCTTGTTTCTTATTCTAGTTGGAGTGGTGCTTCTGCAACGCGATTCACGCAGAGGGTAGAGAGGCACAGTGCGTAGTGGCGAGGAGGGGCACTTCATTTACTTCGCGTAAAGAACGACTTCCCTCGACGGTGCGCGGTGGGGGGGTGGTGGGGCAGCGGAGGGAACAGTGAAGCCAAAAGGGAGGACACACACATACATAGCCCCCTCTAGACTTTCCTTGTCCTCCCAACCGTTTTAGGACAAGGACGTGAAGAGAGGAGTACGGCAAGAAGAGTCATTATATATATATATACACACACACACACACCTACATACATACATCCGTGCGCACGCAGCACTCCCCTCTGAAGTTGCCTTACTGCCATGCTGCGTGTGTCACTCATTTTTTGCGGCAGTGGATTTCTGCGGACTGCTGGGAAAGGGAATAAGGCCACTGTCGCAGCTGCCGCTGCCGTCAGTGCCAAGGCTGCTAGTAGTAGCGCTGGGAGGAGAACGAAGGCAACGGCGCAGAGCACAAATGTGATGGAGGAGGATTCTACACGCCTTATTCACGCCAGTGATTCCACGCGTTCTCGCTTAGGCGACGAGGCGGCAGGCGAGGCATCACGTCCTCCCTACGGGGCTACTGCTTCCGACTCCCGCAGGCGCAGAAGTCAACGTAGCGATGAAGACGTTCTTCAGGTGGCCCAACGCATGCAGCGGCGGGATGTTACAGGAGAAGTCCCCGTGGCGTCCTTTGCCTACGAAATATTAAAGGCGCACCCGTCTGTGCGACAGATGGGGTTGCGGGAGCGCATGGCATTCCTCTGCGATCGCTGGGAGCGGCTTAGGAAGGAGGAGCGACAGGTGTACCTAGACGACCCACTCAAAGGCCTCCTGTAGTCCGGCGATTGACTCGGCTGGTGGAGGAGTCGGGTGACACATGACGAGCGACGCGGCCGGTACGGAGAAGAAACGAAAATAAGGAAAGAAAAACGAGGGAATAAAAGGTGTCCTGAATGAATCACGTCTGAAACGGTTAGAGGGGGAGGGGTGAGAGGCCACACACACGCATGCACGTGGCCGGAACACGCATGTGCTCATAGAGTCTTTTGCTTTGAGGCCATGGCAGTGCCGATAATTTGCTGGTGAAATGCTGGTAGTTGTGGCACTGTGGAGTTGTGGCGACGCGAGGAGATTTTTCTTCGTTATATAAATATATATTCTTGCAGCGCGTCCCTGCCACGCATTTTGGGCTTGTTGTCTCGTCCTAGGAGTTGCTCACACGAGAAGTCTGATATGCCCAAAGCGGTCACTACAAGAAAAAAAAAAGAAGAAATTAACTATACATAAAAGGGAAAAAGAACAAAAAGGCAACTCCACACAACTCATTGAAATACATGTCTGCTTCTCTTTTTTTTTCTTTATTTTGTTTTGTTTTGGACACCCCAGCGCTGCACGTGCCGCCCTGCAAACGCACACACACACACACACACACACACACACGTGGCCGACGGCAACAGTCGGAGGGAGCAGTGACGCCGAGGTAGTTGTTTTATTTGTTTCTCACCATTTATCTGAGCGTGCGCCGGAGGCGGTCATGTGGCGGCGTATGATGGCGGGTGCACCGCGAAGAGCGGCGGCTTCGTGTCTGGCGGCGCCGCTTTTGTTGCTTCGTTGCGTTCACGAGAAACCGTTTCTTGAGCTCTCACCCGACGCCTCTCAGGGCGAGGCGTACGACATGGCCCGCGACGCGCTGGTGCAGCTGAACGTGATGGTGCGACGCGGCATTGAACCAGACGCACTTATGTACACCTCCCTCATCGCCACGATGGGGCGGGCGCGGCTGGAGTGGCAGGCGTACAAACTTTTCTCCCGCATGCTGGAGCAGGGTGTGCGGCCGCTGCCGGAAACGTACGTCGCGCTGCACGACGCCACCGCCCCGTCACGCCGGCGTCTGCGGCAGGACCTTCAGCTGAAAATCGAGGAGTCGCTGGAGTCGTTTCCCACGGAGCTGGCCGAGGCGGAGTTAGCTAGCCGGCGTGAGCAGGACCGGATGTGCGTGCAGAAGTTTGAGGACTACATGAGGGGCGTGCTGCCCGCCCCACCGCCGCCGCCACCACCACCGATCTCGGACACGCCGAGTACGGTGGCACCAGCGATGGAGGGGGAAAAAGAACTCAAAAGCGGCGTAGGGGCGCAGGGGGTGGCAAGCGGCGCCTCTGCAGGAGAGGCAGCGAGGGGTGGGCGGGCGCAGGAAGAGCCGCAACCCATTGCGACTATGCACATTCGAAACCCCACAGATGCGTGGGGCACGGCACGGATGATGGAAGAGCAGCGGGGAAGCCACACACGACGTGCACACGGGAGTGATAACATTGCCTTTCTTTGCGAAGAACTTCACCGTCTTCACGAGGAAGAGCTGCGAATTTTTCTCTCGGCACAACGACAGCTGCGCCACGGTACAAAAGAAGAACTGGTGCGCCGCGTGGTAGACACGGTTCCTGAGCGGAGTATTCGAGACATGCTGGAGCGGCGAAAACATTACTTTCACTCCGTTGCACACATCTTGGAGAACGACATGCATGCGCTCCGCCGAGAGAACAGTGGCCCCAATGGTGTTGAGCCTCATAGCATGCATCTCAAGCTCTCTGCAGCTGATTGTACATTAACCGCTGCCGAGAAGGAAACAGTGGCACCGGAGGTGCTGCATACCCCGTGGGGGATTTTGCGTAAGCCAATGAGGCGTCAACCCGACCCACCTGCACCGCGTAGCATGGAGCGACTGGAGCGCATTAGTCTCTCTGCAGACGAGCTGCAGCTTATTCGAAGTAAGGGGGAGACAGGAGATCTCGACGAGCTACCGGAGAGTCTGCTGAGACGCTATGCGTATGAGTTTAGCCTGACATGGAAACGTCGCCTTCCACTCTCCTTGTTGGAGGCCGTGCAGTGGCACTGCACGACGTTTCTTCCGGAGCGGTTGGACGGGAAGGTGGTGGTGCGGCCCACTCCAGCTCTTCGCCAGCAGCGGGAGAAGGAGGGAATGCATAAAACCTTGGAGAATTACGAGGCCTTCCGCATCATTTCGCAGCGGACAAACAACTTACAAGTGGTGGACCACAAGGAAATCAATTTGCACCTTAAAAAGATGCAAAGGGAGATGCTGCGGGAGGAGCGCCGCACTGAAGAAACACTTCGGCGGGAACGGAACTTACTAGACGCGGCCACACTTGCAGCCTCGGCTAAGTCATTTAGTCCACCGGAGGAGACGCCGCCAGCCGCCTCGCGGGTGCTCGGAGTGGGTGGGGAGGGGCGTGGCGGCAGTCCACAGTCCTTGCCGTCAGAATCGTCTACCGCCGCGAGCGGGGATGTCTTGGTGCAGGACGACGGCGGTGAGCTGCCGCCGTGGGCCATCTTCGCTGGTGAAGAGGAGTTTGACATCTCCACCGGCCGCTTTGGTGACCCTGACGTGGGCCGCTACCAGGAGCTTGGCGACGGACGCTTCAAGGTGCTGCCTTCACGTGAGGCACAACAAAAGTGGACGGTGGATCGTCAACTTTTGCCTGGTCCCTTGCAGGACACATTGCTGCGGGCGGAGCTGCAGCAGAAGCTGCGCCACGAGGCGGTTGAGGCGCGGTACAAGCAAAAACTGCAGTACAATCGTTACCGAAAGTGGGACTCCTTCCTGCGCAAGGCTCAAGAGAAGCGACATCAGGCGGAGGCAGCCAATGAAGGCGAGAACGATGGGAATGGTGTTGTGTGCCCACTACCACCGAAGCGGCGTCTATCGCAGCTACTACGCAAAGGCCGCGATAAGGCACCCGTGGGAGGCGCACTGAAGGCCAAGTACACCAGAAGTCTTTAACACGCTCTCGTCGGTTTTACACGACGCTGCTCTGCGGCCTTTACAACGTGTTCCTTTGTTTGTTTGTTTTTGCCTTTTAACTGAGTTTGTTGTTACTTTTATCCCCTCCTCTGTGCGAGATAGATAGATAGAGAGAGAGAGACTCTTCTTTTTTCTCTCTTTTTCTCGCCTGCGGCCGAATTGCTGCCATTCTTTTTTTTTCACCTTCTTATTTGGCTCCTTTTTTGTTTTTGTTGTTGGGCGCTGTAGCTGACAGAAGGAAAAATAGACGAAATGGGGAAATAAGAAGGATAGTTTACGTGGAATAGCAGCATGGGCCGGCGGAGAATATGCACCCCCGCCTCCCCCCAAGTAAGCACCGCTTCTGTGCTTCCCCACATGCACAGTCGGGCGTACTCTCTTGGGGAAGAGCCACTAACGCAAATGACGCCGACCCCTCCCTCCCCTCCCTCCCTCCCCTCCCTCCCCTCCCTTCACTTAAGGCACCCACCTACAACGACAGACACGCATGCGCATCTGCTGTCTTTATTGGCACACCTGCGAGGGTGACGGATTATTTCACGGCGCACTTTTGGGTTTGTTTTGTTGCGGTGTGTGTGTGTGTGTGTGTGGCTGTGCCGCTTTTCAGATGTACGTGAATACTGCCTGTCTCGCCGTTTTACTACACACCTCTCTCTTGCGGCTACCAGTGGCTGTGGGTAATGCCTGGCACACTTTTCCTCCCTCGCTGTTTCCTCCTTTCTCTCAGCACCTCCGTGTCTTTTGTCGCCTCTTGCGACACACACAGAGGAAAAAAACGACAATCATCACTTTGACTGCCGGCTCACTGTGGTGGTGCGGACTCGCCGGTGTTCTCGTGCGGAGCTAAGAATAAAAAAAGGAGAAGGGTCTTCTCACTTGCGGCTGAGGGGGAAGAGAAGAGGGCGGGTGCAGGGGGGGGGGGACCGGCGGCGAAGTGCGGTGAGAGCCTTGTAGAGGGAGTCACCGCGACGGTCATGGCCCAACGTGCCGCTGCCCGGCGAAAGACGGAGGACTGGCAGGATGCCTTCTACAGCCTAGAGGAACGACACCGCCAGCTGCAGCGGAATTTCAACGAAAAGGAAGAGGAGCTCAAGCTGCTCAAAGTGTCACTGCGGCGTGAGTCGGCCACGCCGTCCTTCACTAGGGGCTACCCCCCACGTACGGCGCCTCTTGCGAGTGGGCGAGCCTCCAACGTGGGGATGCCATCGGCATCGGTGAAGGCGAACGAGCGAACATCAGTCACGAGCAGAGAAGGAGGAGGAGGAGGAGGAGGGGGACCGGTGCGTGGCGCGACACACGAGGGGCAGCCTGAGCGGAATGTCAGTTTTCTCCCCGTCCCAGCAGCGGCACGGAGGGCGGACGCGGGCGCTGCTGCCGCAGAGTTGACGAGCGCATGGTCGGCCGCCCCCCCACCAGATCCGTCGATGGTGTGGGGGATGGAAAACAGCATTCAAAATTACGTCACCGCCAACGCTCTGTACCACGCGAACGAGGAGCTGCGCCAGCGTCTTGATGATGCCGTGGGTGTCGTGAAGACGCTGCAGCATGAATTGGCTTCCAGCCGCAGCCTGGTGGCGACAACGCAGAAGCGGCTAGAGGAGGCGACGCAGCAAATGCACCAACTCGTGCGGGAGCGTGACCTGGCCGGTCAGAAACTTTCCGTCTCACAGCAGGCCGTCGTGGACCTTGAGCGAAACCTAAAGAATCATACCATGGAGGAGGAGCGGATTCGTTTTTCGCTGGAGTCACAGATCACTGAGTTGCGCAGTCGCCTCGTTGTGGGGGCTGACAGCAACGAGCTGCTCACGCGCGACGTTCGCACCCTTCTCACGGAGGTCAAGGAGAAGACGTTGGAGGTGCAGAGTTTGCGGTCGAAGCTTACCCTAGCAGAGGCAGCCTTGTCGTCGCAGAAGCAAAACAATGAAAACCTTCTTGTGGAGCTGCGCGGCCTCAACACGCAGCTGATTAATGAGCGCAAAAGGCTGCTTTCCATGACGCGCGAGGCGCAATTGGCGAGTTTGCGTGCCGAGGACGCGAAGGATGTTGAGGCGCGATTAGCAGAGGCCGTAGAGAGCCGTGGCTCGCTTGAGCGTGAGCACGTGCGGCTGATGGAGAGTTTGGTTGGCATTACAGAGAGTGCCTTGCGGCAGGCGCGGGAGGAGGTGCGACAGGACATCGCCGATTGGCGTACATCCGCCGCCCACTGGGAGGAGGTGTCGCAGCTGCTCTACAAGGATATTGCGCAACGCACGCAGGCGCACATTCAGTGTCGTGAGGAGTGCGAGGAGGCTAAGCGAGACCGTGACGAGGCTTCTATGGCGTTGCGGGAGGCATGGGAAGACCTGAAGCTGTGCCGTGCGAAGCTGGACATTGTGTGGCCAACGCACCGAGCCGACACACGTGACTTGACACCGGCGGAAATCCTTTCCACGTTTGGAAACTACAGGGCCTTCTTCCGACAGAAGCGAGACACAAGATCTCGCCGTGGTGACGGTGCCGCGGTGCCGCCGGAGGAGACTGACGGAGACGAAGGCGAAATTACCGTGGAGTTGTGTGACGTACCGATGGAGGAGCAGCTCCGCGAGCTCCACGAGGCGAATGGGGTGTTGCTGGCAGAGCTGGAGCAGCTTCGCATCACAAATGAGTTGCAGGCGGAGCGGCTGTCCAAAATGGAGATGCATGCGCGACGGGAGCGGGAGGAGGTGCAGGCCTCCGCGGAGGCGTTGGAGCAGCGGGAGGAGGCCGCGCAGCAGTTTTTGCAGACACAACTTGACCACGTGGCGTTTCTGGAGGCCCAGGTGCGCTCGCTGCGCGGCTACGACGTGTCTCCAAGCATCTCACTGCGTGAACTTAGCCCTGGGGAGACAGTGTTTGAGCTCTTTCTGGGGCAGATTCTTTCCACCGAAACGCCGGAGGGGGTGAACCTGCGTGACACGTTCCCACCGATTTTCTGCTCCGTGGACTTTCTGCTGCACGAAACCATCACGACCCCCATTGTGACGGGGCTCAATGGCTTCCTTGACACAACGGTCTCCTTTTGCGTCGCCATGGACGCGCTGTTGCAGCGCTACCTGCAGTCGCGCGAGCTGCTTGTGCAGCTGCATCGTGTGCGCTCGCAGGATGAGATTGAAGAACGCGCGTCTACACAAACCGACGCACACGACGCGCTTTTTGCGGAGCGTTTGTACTCGACGCTGGCGGAGGGCTCCGTCAGTTTGTTCTCGCTTGTGTCGGTTGAAACGTGTCGCAATGCCCAGCGACCCACACTCAGCGGGCATATTCCCCTGCACACTCCAAACGGTCACCACATCGCCTCGGTGGAGTTCACGGTGACGGTGCGAACCCCGTTTAGCGACGCCTTCCGCGCGTTGGCCGCCGAGGCGAGTAAAGAGCGGCGTCCGCAGCTGACGGCGACGGCGGCGACGGCTGTGACGGCGAATACGTCACGCGGCGAAGGGCGGATGCAGTTGGTGCCAACGAGGCACCACTCGGAGGCCATTGGTTCGGTGTCCACGACCTCCTCCTCCTCCACTTCTCTTTTAGAGTCGAAGTCACACAACCGAACTTTTGGTTTTACGCTTGTGCCACGTGCCGCCGCAATGGCCAGCGTCTCGTCCTCCTCTGCGTCGTCGGCTCCCATCCGTTCGCTGATGGTGGATGTGTGTAAGCTGCATTTGCCGTCTAGCCTGGTTCCCGTTCCGCGTCTCTCGTGCTACTACTCGTTGACTCCGCTTGGCCGTGATGTGTACCTTCCCGCCCCACCAACCCCGCGGTACGAGTGCGAGTATTTGCAAGAGGGCGGCAGCCGCGGAACCTGCTTTCCGGTCAACTCTGTGCGCGAGTTGCTTGCGGTGACGCGTGAGCCCTTCATGCTGTTTTTCTTCGACGCGTTTTCCCTGGAGGTGTGTGGTAGTGAACGACGGGGTCAAGGCCCGTACTGGGCGATGGCCATGGCTGAGTGGCGACTGGCACTCGAGCGGCCGGAGGAGTACGTCTCACTGGAGTTGCCGTTGATGGATCAGCAGGGATGCCCTGTTCAAGGGGCATTTGTGCAAGTGCGATTACTTGCCACAAGCAAAACGCAGGGCGCCGAGGCAGGTTTAGCGACGGCCCTTGAAACAGCCCGTGCTGCAACGGCTACTCTCCGAGCTCGCGATGCGCATGCCGGAAGCGGCGGTGGTATTGGTGGTGGTGCAGTCGCCGTTTCGGGGGGTGATACCCTTCAGAGGGGCTCAGGCGGTAGACGCACGTATGACACCACCCTGGATTCTGTTGAACTGGAGATGATCCGGCGGCAACTGGACAGTTAGCGTCAAATGCGGTGACGATGGAGATGATAATGAGAAGGGGGGGCAGCGCTCCTGTGAAGGTGTCGGAGATGTAGGACTCAAGACGACGGAGCTTGGCCTGTGCTGCCTCTTTTAAATACTTCCATACACACGCCTTAGAATTATAGTGACAGTTGGGGCGTCGCTAGAAGCTGCTACGTATTTTGTGTTTTTGGTTGATATATATATATATATATCACTGTGTGTGTGTGTGTGCATTTCTGTTTAAGTCTCTCTTTGCGTAGATATTTCCAGCGGCGGTCATGGCGCCGTCTGAAGCGTTTATTTTATATTTTATTTGCTCTTCTTGCATTGTCTCTGCCGCGATGGGGGGCGATTATGCAACCCCCTCCCCCCCCACCACCACCGTTAACGGAAAAGTATTTTTCTCTTCTTGTCGTGTTCTTGCGCCCTCTTTTTTTTTTTGTTGCGTTCTGCCGAAGAAGCTTAGAAACGCCACGAAGGGCAGCGGCTGCAGAGAATGCCACTGCCCCCCCCAAGGACATCCGTGACCACGACGCATGACGCCACATCTTTGAAAGGCAAAAACACTACGGCAGGGACGACGACGACGGCGGCAGTGGGGGTTGTGCAGGATGGAGGGCGTTTATCGGTGTTCAGCAGCACTTCGCCGCGCCCAGTGGAGGCCCCCGCACGGGAGGAGGAGGAGAACGCACGACGCAAAGGGCGTGCCATCCAGCGGAAGATCCTGCGGCCACTCAAGTCCGCCATGCCAGAGGTGAAAACAGAAAAGGTGCCGCGTCCACTGCCATTGCCACCTCGCACTTCCGAAACAATGACGCCGGGGGCCGCATCTAAAACTGCTTCCGTGACGAGCGCTTCTAGAAACAGTGTTCAGTCGGTTCCTTTACCGCAGCCACAGGCACTGCCGCCGTCAATTTTTGACGACGCACCTGTGCAAGCCAGCCTGGAGTACTTGACAAGGCCCCATCGCTCATGGGATAGCGCCGTCAAAATTAGGGAGCGGAGAGGCAGGAGACAAGAACGGGGAACCGCTCGTCGTGCGTGGCGCAGCAGCAGCAGTCTATCTAATTCTTTGGCGAGCTCCGCAAGCGTGTTGTGTGCCTCCTCAAATAGAATGGTGAGCCACTCCAGTCTTAGTGTTCATAGTGCGCCTCCTATGCTTAGTCATCCTCACGCCTCAGTGTCACCTGGAAACACGCCGGGAGGTGGTACGCTCCGCCGTGGCCGCTTTGGGGTGCCGCTGAATCTTCAACCCTCCCCGGAGGGTCTCGCCGTTGACGGGAGCAGCCTTTCGTTGTCATTTGCTTCTTCAACGATGTCGCATTTGAAGCCACTACCACAGGACCAAGCTTTTTTTCCTACGACGAGGAGTAATACGCTTGGAAACGCATCCGCCCAGGGGCGGGGCGCGAATACGCCTGCACTGGGAAGGGTGCGAGAGTTCACATTTACTATGCAGTAGGTGCGGTCCGGGAGAGGGCTGCTGGGAAGATGGAGATGAGGAAATTATCAAACGCTCCCTCCCTCCCCCCCTGGCGGGGGTGTCCTACCGATGTAACCTCCGCAGCGGAGGGGATCAATTTCATGAAAAAAAGATATAAATCAACAAGAAACACTTGTATTGCTGCCATTATAATCACCCGCTCTCCCTCTCTAATACTTGCCTTGTCGTAATGTTCTTTTTCTCTCGCCGCAACCGCGTTTGACTCTGGCAGTGCACGATATCTTTGGTGTTCCTTTTTTTTTAAAAAAAATTATCACTGCAATTGCATTTCCGGCGTGCGTGTGTACAATACACAACACACTGTACCAATCTTCCTCCCTCCCTCTTTCTCTTTTTTTTTTCCCTCTCTATGCAGGAGCGTGCACGCCTTTGTTGAACACTGGGGAGTAAGGTGTTGGTTAGCAATAGTCTTATAGTTCCATGGCGACGGCGGGCCTGAGTGCGGCGACGGTGGAGTTGCTGAAGTCCCTCAGCATTGACCTGAAGGACTTCTCCAAGGCACGTGCTAGGTACAACAAGGTACGCGAGAAGCTGAGGGAGAAGAGCGCAACGGCGGCTGCGGATGCGGCTGCAGAAGCTGCAGAGATGCTGCAGCGCCTCACCGATGGTTGGGGTGAGTACCTCCGCCTCACGCAGGAACACTTTCAGAGGATCACTAGCACCATCGTTGAAGAGCTGATGAACAAGACACGGGACAAGGCGACTGCGGCGGAGCGGGCTGAGAAGTTGAATGAACTCTGCGCCATTGGTGAGAAGTGGTATGTCCGCAACGAGGCATATTTTGAGTTTGAACGGCCGGAGCAGCTGGCCTTACTCGTGAGGGGTGCGTTAGACTCCTCCAGCCGTGTGATGCGTTTGCTTGGGCTGCAACTGGCTCGTATTTGTGCGGCGAGCGTGATGTTCACGCGGACTCTGCTGGCGGGCGAGGGGAGTGGGCTCATTGGCTTGAGCTTTGACCGTGAGATTGCCACCGAGTTGGAGTACGCACTTAACATGTGCGCGCGCCTGATTGAGCTGCACGAGAGTGACCCCGTGGCGTACCCAGACGTCCCTTACTGCTGGATTTGCCGCGTAGGCGCCTTGGTGGACCCGCAAGATTCCGTGCCGAACTTGACGCCTAAGCGGAAAAGCCAGGCGCTCCGCATTGCCATTAAGTTACTTCGCTGCTTCCCGGCAATGTCGACGGCAGCCTCGCTGCACATCATTCTACTTAGATACTGCATTCAAAAAGGTGCTGTTACGGCAGACGAGATTAAAAATGTACTGCATGTCGTTTTAGACATTTTCGATCACGCCGAGACCCGGCAGTACCTTCACTACAACGACTTGGACGTTCTCTACGCACCCTTTTTGTACTCCGCAGACAACAGCACGGAGACTAACTTGAACCTGATGAATGGGGCTAAGGATGTGCTTGCCATGGTGTTGCAAACGTGGGTGGGGGTTCTGTGGACGTGCTCAGAGACGAAGGGGTTACGTGCTGTCATTGATATACTGCACCTGCCAGGGGACTTGGACCGGAAAATGGTGTTGCTCACGTTGTTCAACAAAGTGCTTTGCCAACTGGCGCCGCACCGTGGTCTGACGTTGATGAAGACGTGGCAAGGCGTTGAGGAGAAAAATCACGAGACTTTGATGTCCCGCACATTGTTTCCGGACACGGCCTCCAGTTTCAAGGGGACACGTTCCCCACGGTTACTGAATGACGGCATTATAAACCACACCTCCTCCGAGGTTACGTGTACGGACCAAAGTGAGCTGCTCGATGGTTTTGTGCCAACAACTAAGGCTATAGGGTACCACGTGCTCGATCCACTGCTGGGGAGGGTTCTTTTGATGCTCTCACACCACGGCCTTCCGCTGGCGTTGGTGTCGATGATTGGAGATGGGGCCCCAAGTCGGCTTCTCGCAGTTACTGCCTCATCCCTGCTCCAGGACATATTTATGCTTATGGACACGGTGCTCCCGGTGCGTCCTGTTAAGCGGCTGCACACGGCCTTGAATAAGGCCGTGGGGTGTTTGGTGTTTCAAGGAGATTTGTCGTTTAACAGCGGACTCACAACACGTCTTTTTCAGGATCACAAAATGAAGAAAGGCGCGGCACTTCTTCCAACGGTGGCTGACCCGAATGCAATTTCAGGTGAACGTGTAAGCATTCCATCGGCAACAACGATTTCAGCGTACTGGTTGGGAGACGTGGAGCTGGACGATACCGGCTTTGCGGGGATGCTGCGGGAAACAGGTGTGGATAAGGCAGGTGGCTTTTTGGAGTGGAATCACGATTTGCTGCTTCTGCTGGTTCATGGATCGCTGCGAAGTCCGTTTAGATTTCAGTGGGTTCTAAAAGAGACACGTTTTTTTCATAGACTTCTTGCGTTTTACCTGCCTCTGCTACAGTCCAACTTGCGGACATTTGTTTCGCTGCGCGCGGAGGAGTGCACGCCACAGGTGTGCAACTTGGGGTTGGCGTTGCTGGATTTGTTCCTCTCCACCCGGGTGGGAACGGAGGTGCTGGACGAATTTGGTTTTACACCGGCCATTGTGGCCAACCTGCAGGAGGTGATTGACGGCACACCACAGGTACTAAACCCGCAGCGACTGGGCACGCGGGTGGGGCAAACTGTACTTTGCATGGTGGGTCGCTACTCGCTCGCGGCGAATGGATTGATGGCGATGCGTGAGCACAACATGTTTGGCATGATCAACAACATGTTTTCCAAACTCTCTGGGGAGCGGGCGGTGGCACCCGCAGCCGGTGACACTTTGCGAGATGTATGCCAGCTACTGTTACAATTTCTTTACATTGGTGCGGTACCCAACTACGGCGTATGTGAGGAGATTCGCCAGGTGTTTCGCGCTGCTCTTTGCAATGATGCGAACTCCGTCCGCCTCTGTGCGGCGATGCAACTGCGTAAGGCACTCTGGCGCGATCTCTCCACCTCCATGAGTTGGGGGATAGAAACCTTGGTTCAGGCCCTCCATGATGACTTCTACAGTGTCGTGGAAAGTGCCTTCAAGCTGTTGCTTAGTATTTGCCTCTGCTCTGACGAGGCGTTGGATTATCTGATATCGTTATCCCCCACAGTCCTGATGGAGAGTGAGGTTATTCGCCAACACTCCAAGCAGCTTGGTCTAAACACGCTTTTGTACCGTATTGTGGGGAGACCTTCAGGATTTCGTTTTTTGCAGTGTTACGGCTGGGTGGAGGAGGAACTGCGTCGCTGGGAGGAGTCTGAGTCCGCCAACCATGTCCGCCTCGTGGAGCGTATGCAGGCTCGCGAGGCGGTGGGGGTGCCAGCGGACTTTGCGCACAGCATGGCAGGCCGTTGGTGGCAACACAATCGCACACTTTCAGAGCCAAATTACATCTTGTATCGACCAGCCGTTTTGTCTGCAAGTATTCCAACGTACAGTTCACCCAATGACTCGGGGTCGGACTTCTTCCCTAGCCATTTTGCTGCAGTTCTGTGTAAATCGAACGAGGGATGTACGCTGTTTAAGCACAGCAATCTTTGGAAGAGGTCGGTGCAACGTATTATGCATCAAATTCTTCCACCTGATATTGTGTATGATGATGGTGTTGATGCGGGGAGTGAAAGCAGCGACGACGACATTGATGATGCGGAACGAGCTCTTAATGAGGAGGATCCATCGTTTTGGGGACAATTGGGGGCAAAAATGGATACAACGGATGCTACGCAGTCTGCTGAGCCGTGTGAGTTACGCATGTTGCGGGCAGGGCGCTTGCCCTGCTCCCGTAGCGCGCGGTTGTTGTCCGCCGCACGGGGTTATAAGAAACCTGGACGCTCGTACCTCCTCACGCTTGTGGGAGATGTTGCAGAGTTAAAGGATGCCATTTTATGTGTTTGCCACGCCTCTTCCAGTGACACGGGCTATGCGTTGATGCGCAGCGTACCAGAGTTGCATAAACGCCTGAATGCTCTGATGGTGTTTGGGGCAACTGTTTCTGTGCGTAGTATATGCATTGTGGGGGAGTGTATACTGGCCCGCTCCAAGCGGTGTGCTGAGCAGCTCTCCGGCATGTCACACTATGTACTCAATGAGAGCAACGCCTACACCAGCGCGGACGGTGTGCCGTACTCTGTGGCTTTCTCCCACATCAAGCCGTCGAAGTGGACTCCCATTGGACGTCCCACGAGTGACGGGCAGCTCTCCGCACTCTACTTCATCCACAAGCAGGATATTGCGGAAGGGACCGATGACAATGAGCCCCCACTGATGGCTTCCATGAAGTTCCCTGCTACACTCTCACAGTCAGCACGACGCGTATTTGATCAGGTGTGTGCCCTCTCCAACCCAGTAAACTGTGAGGGGGCAAAGAAAAAATTGTACCAGGTGATGAAGCACCAGCCACAGCTGTTTACCGATCCACGCATTCGTAAACTCGTCATTGGTGCCACCCAAAAGTTTCGTATGCATCACGCGGAGCGGAAGTTTCTTGCGGATCTACTTGAAACCGCACCTCTATCCGCGCCTGTACCCAACGCTCGTCGCTCGACGATTATATCCTCCACTCATATACAGTCACACTGAGTGAGGTGAGGTGAGGTGAGGTGAGGGGGAAGAAATGGGAGGTGTTGAGTCTGTGCGGATTCGGTGGTGATGACGGTGGTGGAGGTGCAGGTCCAAGGAATCTGTCTGGTGCACGCTGCCGCACCGCGTGGAAGCTTCAGCTGGATTTCTCTCCCAGGTGTTTATTATTACAATCATCGTTTCCTTCCTCTGCTTCTTTATATCTTATTTGTTGCTTTTCGATGCGTAGAACAGAGAGCTTTTCATCGTCGTTGTCCTTGTCCTTTTGTGCGGAGTGCAAGCGTGTGTGTGTGTGTGTGGTGGCTTCCTTTCTTTGCTGCCTGCTGGCGACTCTCTCTCTCCCTCCGTTTTTCCTCTGTCACCACTCTCTCCTTTTTTTTTTGGCGTGTTGTGTTTTGTCGGTGTTCGGGCGGAAGGGAATACTCGGACCGCGTGCCTTGGCGGCGGCTGGCGGACTTCGACACACGGCAGAGGCAGTTATTTGACAAATGACGGAGGCTTCAACGACGGCGGAGATGGCGGCGGGCGGAGGCGTGAGTGCCGCAAGCCGTGCTGGGAAGAGCGGGGCGTTACTCCTCCAGGAGGACGAACAGTTTCTCTTTGACTTTGGTGGCGGCTCGGCGACGGCGATGACGTTGGGGCGAGACCCCACCAGTCCTGCGTCATGCGCCTCTTCCCATCCCCACGAGGAAGAGGGTGACGGTGCCGACAAGCCGGCTTCCGGGGACGCCTACCTGAGCGGGCGCAGCAACGTCGTGGTAGAACCGCTGAGTGCGGTAGAGGTGCAGCGTGGCTTTCACGCCGCCCTGCGCGCTGGCAGTAACGTTTTTTTAAAGTTGTCACTGGACGAGGCGGTTGCGAAGTTTCAGTTGGGGCTGCAGCGGTATGGTGAGGCGTTAGGTCGCCAGGCACGGCAGGAGAAGCAGCGTGCGACGGCAACGCGAAAAAGGCACGCTAGCTGCGGTGGCAGCAGCGGTAACAGTAAGGATAATAACACGAGTAATGCGAAGAACACTAGCAGCAGTGCGGAAGGCAGGATACGGACACGGCAATGATTCTCCTCGACTGGGAGGCACAAAACAGTAACTAAAAGCTGAGAACATTTACATAAATATGTAAATGTGTGTGTGTGTGTGTAGATGGGGAGTGTTTTTCTACGAGAGATGAGCGTCTTGGCTGTCAAGGGGGGAGACTGCACGAACATTTCCATACGTCGGATGCTCCGTGCAACTATCCGCAGCTGACATCATTGCGGCTATTGCGACTAATTGTTTTCCCTTCTTTTCGTTGCTGACACGTGCGCGTGTGCGTGTGTGGGATTGCCACTTATGATGTTTATTATTTTGTTTTTTTTCTTCTTTTACCTTTTTTTTTTTGGGGATTTAGTGCTGTTGGGTGAAGGAGAGGTACTCTTTGTTTTTTTCCCTCTCCTCGTTGCGTGGGGCGATTGTTTGCTGCCTGTGGGGGGAGGGAGGCCGTTGCCTGGTGCGGGGGAGCGAGGGGAAAAGAGCCTTTTGCCAGTGGCGTTGGACGCCGTGGTTAGGGGGATAGTTACCACGAATCACCGCCCGCTTTGTGTGTGGCAGTGGCACATTCACCTCTGCGGCTGAGGAATAAGGAGGGGGTGCATAAGGACCACGGGAGCGGTGGAGGATATACTCACAAATTTTCATATAAAACGACTCACAGTTGGCAGAGATAAAGAGAGGCAGGTGGTGTGTGTGTGTGTGTGTGTGGGGAGAAGCGGAGCGCGAGATTGTGGCGGTCATGGGGATTAAAGGGCTGTGGTCGGAGGTGCGACCCGTATGCCGCCAATCCCACCTGTCGAACTTTCGCGGCCAGCGTGTGGCGGTGGACATGTACGTTTGGTTGCACCGCGGCATTTTGGGTAGCGTTCAGTTGGGCACGAGCGCGGATGCAGAGGCATTCATTGAGTCTGTGGAAGCGACACCCGACGCCGCGGATGCGGTCGCTTCTGTGCGGCTCACCAACAAATTTTTGCAGTTTGTGATGGGCCGTGTGGAGCTGATGTTGCGGTGTGGCATCCACCCAGTTTTGGTCTTTGATGGGGCTCCAATCCCCATGAAGCGGGGCACAGAAGAGGAGCGACAGCAGCTTAGGGCAGCGCGGCTGGCGGAGGCGGTGCAGCTGATAAAGGATGGCTCAGCATCAAATCCCTGCGCGAGGCAGGAGGCGGCACAGTTGTTGGAGAAGGGCGTGGACATCACCACGGAGCTGGCGCACGCCGTGATTCAGGTGCTGCAGGAGCGACGACTGGAGTGCATTGTTGCCCCATATGAGGCGGATGCGCAGCTGGCGTACTTGTGTAAGGAGGGATACGTGCAGGCGGTTATATCGGAGGACAGTGACCTCATCGCGTACCACTGCCCGTGTCTCATCGCCAAGCTGGATGGCCATGGTAACTGTGAGGTGCTCGTTGCACAGGACCTGCCGCGGTGTCCTAGCTTTTACGGGCTGTCGTATGAGTCCTTCCTGGTTGGCTGCATCCTTAGCGGGTGCGACTACCTGCCGAGTCTGCGGCACATTGGGGTGAAGAAGGCCTTTCGCCTGGTGGCCCAGGCTACCTCTGTCCCAAGCATTATGAGCACCCTGCAGGTGAAGTTTGGGTTTTCCAAGGAGGAGTTAGACGAATACGGGGAGAAGCTACAACAGGCCTTCTACTGCTTTGCACACCACTTTGTATTTGACCCTGTTCGCAAGGAAGTCATGCACTTAACCCCATTGCCACGCGGGATTCCACTCAACACAAATCTCCTCGGCAAGACGCTACAGAAAGACGTCGCCGAAAAGGTCTGTGCGGAATGCCTCTACGATCCCGTTACAAAGGCGTTGTACAGGGGCAGCTATCAGTACTGCGTCCAAGAGTACTGGAGGCACGTGAGAGGAGGGCAAACCTCGCTGAAGGCGTATAGCGGGTTTCAGGACATGCAGTCCCCGCGTGTGACAATCCTCTTGAGACAAGGGGGCGCTGACGCAACAGGGCAGCGGGCCTCTCCCACCACGACGTTTTTTTCCTCCCCGCTGCAGAAGGTTTGCGAGGCCACAGGATTCTGTAAACAAGCGACCCGCAGCACAACGTTGGTACGCTCCAAGTACTTCACACAAGGGCGTTGGAAGGTGGAGGATTGGGAAAGTGACGAGAGCGAGGACACCCCCACCATGACAACACAGACCACCGCCACCTTTGACAGCTCCATGACTACGGCAGCTGCCGGAAACGACGGGGAGGTGAGTGAAGGCTCCCAGTGGTGCATGTCGTCACTTCGTTTTGTGGTAAAAGACGCGATGGGAGCCACCCCGCAGTCTGTCTCCCAACCGTCGACAAATCTGACGCAGGAGGATGGGCTTGTGACGCAGCAGCAGCAGCAGCAAGCTAGTTTCAGCCTGCCTGAGGCACCAGACGCATTACTATCGCCTATTATTCCACCCTCTGTGCCGAAGCCTCCACACGGGGCAATAACGGCATCGGACCATAAAGAGAGCCAATGTCGACACGGGGGAAGTGGGTGCCCGTTTGGTTACCCGCAGTGCGGACGCCGGCACTCCATCTTCGAGCTCTGCTTCCAGGGAAAGCATTGGGCAAAAAATCCCACCCCGCTTGCCAACGAAGGGGTGAAGAATACTAGTGATGGTGAGAGTAGCCATAGCTGCGGTGGTGAATTGTCCTGTTCTTCCTTACGGACAGGCACCGGTGAGAAGCGGCAACGGGGGACGGCGATGCCACTTTCATTTCGCCCCGTTTTTAGACAACCGGCGTCCACCAGCGGGACGTCGACTGCCAGCGCATCACATGCGGAGAAAATGTCCTCCGCCGCTAAGCGGAGGCTGCTGTCGCCCACAGACCAGGCGGTGCAGCTGATGCAGCGACTGAATCCTAGAAGCAACATGGCCCCTACGGTGTCCTCCAAGGCGGAAGACACCGGTCGTGGTAACGAAGCGGCCACGAAGCTGTTTGAAGAGCTGACATTTGCACGGCGATGATTTCGCCTCCAGCAAAACTTCCTTTTTTCCTTTATGTCCTTCCCTTTCTCTCTGCATAGATGCTGTGGGAATACTTTCTTTTGTATCTTCACTTCATTTAAGAAAACAAAATAAAAGAAAAAAACTGTTTTGATTGTCTAAGCTTGACAAGATTGAAGGCCCGTTTTTTCCTTCCGCTTGTTAAGTGACCGTTTCTGGGCGGGGAGGGGGCGGGAGCGACGTCTGGTCACGTGGGGTGCATCCCACGTGTGAGAGCCGTTTCCCGTTAGCCACGGTGCACGCTTATCCCTGCATGTGTGTGTACATACATGCAAATAAGTGTTTCTCTCTGTGTGCCTAGTTATACGCGCATCTCCAACTACAGTGTGCCATGCCTTTTTGGACAAGGGGGAATATATACGTACATACTGTTACGTATGCACTTTTGAAGGGCAACTTTTTCTTTCTTCTGTTTTTTTTCTTACCTTTTCTTTTGATTACCATGTACAAACCGTGCGACTAGCGGGTGACTGCCGTGCCGCAGTGCAATGGGAGCCAACCGTGGGCTGGCTGAGATGCCACGACAGATGCGACAGCTGCTACGCCGTATTCCTGTGGGACACTCATCCATCTACCTGAACGAGCTGCAACCAAGTAACCAGCATTTTTTTCTCAAGGCCTGCATGACCAGTGGGCCTCACACGAGTCACGGGAGCGTGAAGAATGTGTTGGGCGTTTCTATTGACCGAGGGGAGATCAGTTGCCATGCATCGCTTCAGGCGCTAACTGCAAAAACAACGGAGGCTAAACAGCAGGAGGGAAAAGCTTCCCCGATGTACATCCATGCCCACGTTTCACAACATGGTGTCTACGTTGCAGCTGCTGCCCGGGTCGAGTGGGAGGTTGGCGGCGTACCGAACCCCTCATCCCACATTACTGACGAAGCCGCATCTTTTTTTACTGTCCGTTCCAAGTTGGATGCTTGACGGTGATGCGGGAGGCAGCGGGGGACGGCGCACGGTGGAGTCAGTTCTTCAGGCTCGTCTAATGCAGGTAAAGAAAACGTTGTATTGGAGGGAGGGTGAGCCACCGCATGGCGAGGATGAGGCGACGACAGACACATCTGAAGTGATGCTGGAGCCTATATGGGGCTGCACGATTTTGCAGTTGCGTCAGGCGGCGAGGGTTGCCGCGTCGCATGGGTTTCGTTTGTTTCTTTTAAGTTATGCTCGGCAGCGGCTTTTGGCAAATGAAGGGTTGATGGTGCGGGAATTGGGCGGCTGGTGCCCTTTCGCGTTTCGCAGCTTTCAGCTGGATGTACACACGACGATGCCACGCGATTCCTCGACGCACTTCTCCTCCATCTCGCTTTTAGAGGAGGCACAGCGCGGGTTTGCCGCCCAAGCTGGGGTGGATGCCGGCACGCAGGGTCGTTCTGGCGCGGCTTCGGTTACAGATGACTTCGAGGCCCCGGCATGGGCGGAGTGCGCCTTTCCCTTTGCTGTTGCGGAGGCGATTGTGGATGTGAAGCGGGATGCGCTTGTGCCATGGGCGCAGGTTTGTGATAACCCACTCACCGCCTGCTTGTTCGCGGCACTCTACGATCGGCGGCATTTTTGTGTGATGGATGCGGTGCTGTACGCCTCCCAACGTGTGGTCCTGCCGTTCCTTCTTGGACTCCCCTCGACGGCGGGCCCATTGTCATTGGAAGCGACTACAGGAACTGGCGGCGGTGCTGGCACTGCGACATCGGTGGGGTTGATGCGGTGGTCGGAGATCCATGCGGTGTTGCGGTGGCGTTTTTTTGAGCTGCCCTTTGGCTCCCTCTCGCAGCTAGTGCGGACGGAGGATGTCGCCGCGGTGGGCGGCGGCCTCGATCCATTTATTCTTCCCCTTCATGACACTTTTGTGACACGGGTCCTGATGCCACGCATGACGGATTACTACCACGCCACTTGCCGGGCTGCGGGAGCCTCATCGCGCATGGGTGCACCGACACCAGGGGACAAGTGCGCCCACGTGACTCCGTCAGCGCCGGCCACTGTTACGGTTGACATACTCAGCTGCTTCAACGGCCTGGTGGGCAGGCGGGGCCACAGGGGCGTCGGCAGCTCCGACGCAGGTGCAAATGACGACGATGGCGGCGGTGCTGTCAAGCAGCAGAATAACAAAAACGGGCGAACACCAAAGGCGATGGTGGATGCGCCCAACTTCGATAGCAGGCGCGGCGACGTCCACTTCATGCTCTCTGACTTACCAAGCCTCGTGAAGTACTTGCTGTACTTCCACCAGCACTTTGAGGTTCAAGACGGAGGCACGGCTGTGACATTCACCCCCCACGAGGGCTAGTTTGTCACAGGACGCGGGGGGGCACAGGGTGGCACACGTTTACTGGCCCTCTCATTAGCGGCGGAGGTGGAGGAGTTGCTCCTGTGTGGCACTTGGGGGGTCGGCGTTGTGATGGCGGCAACGGCGCACGGCAGCAAAATAAGTGTCTGAGTTTTTGTTTTTGTTTGTGTGCTTTTTTATGCTGACTTGGTCTGTTTGTTTCATTCCCCCTTTTTCTGTTTCTGTCGTTTCTCAGCTTCTTTTGCAGTGCCTCTTTTTTTTTTTGGTTGTGTTGCTTTGACCTCCAAAAAGAAGCACCACAGAGAGTTGCGGTGGGCGTGCACGCGAAGGTAACGAAGGGAAACTTGCCCGCACAGGAAGTCGGTCGCCATGATGGTGGTAGCTCCTTTATCACTGAAGGCGTTACCGGAGGAGGCCCAATGGCGGGCGCACCAAGCGATGGAAGGACGCCGGCCGGCAGACGAGGGGAACGAAGAAAAGGCAATGGACGTGCTGCCTACAGATTCGCGCCTTTACCGGTCCCACGGCTCAGGTTTTGATGGGGGCCTCACTCCCTCTACCGCCCACTCCCCCACAGACTGCAGCGATTTAGGCCCTCCGTGTAGGCACGGGAGTGTCGGTGGTGGCGACAGCATCGCCAGAAGTAACGGCAACAGGCAGCACGACCCCCCGAAGAAGGGACATAAAAAACATGCTTTTTTTTGGTTGCCGCGGCGTTCCCCACGGCGAAAGGTTCATGCAGAGGTCAATAAGAAGCCAGCGAATGGATGCAGCAAAATAGACGCTCCCTTACAAGTGTATGATACCCCCATCTCAGAGCGACAGCAGCGGAGCGTAGATATGATGCGGGCAACTCCTGTTCTATCTTCTCCGGAGTTGTATCGGTTGACCGGGGCATCACGGGCCGTGCGCCGCGTACAATTTGAAGTCTGTCAAGACCGCTCGCTACTTTCGTCGCCACAACTGTCATCTTCGAAGCTTCGTTATTTGACTGAATGGTGCATTAAACTGACTCTCCTTTATATAATGCTATTGAGCTTTATGTTGGCCTTTACACACTGAAGACGTAAAAGGAAAAAAAAACAATTTTTTTTTCTCTCTTTTTCTTTTTTCTTTTAGTATATTTTTGGCGGTTGTTTGTATTTGCATCTTCATGTGGGTGCGCCTATGCCCCTCCAAGCACATTGTTGTTGCCCCCCTGACCCACACTCCCATCGTTTTTCCCTTCCAGGTGGTCGTTTAATTTGCGACGCCTCTTTCGAGTTCATTCTGCTCGATGCAATATTTCTTTGTTTTGTGCTTTGGTTTTGTCAGTTTTTGCGTGTTTTTTTTATCTGCTCTGTTGTACGCAGCACTCTGCGTGCACGCGGGGCGGACACGGGAGGGTCATCATGTGCTCGCGTTGCACTACGTCGCTGCCTGCATTTCTGCGCCAGCGTCTTTTTATCACCTTTTACTTTTTGAGGTTTTACTACCATTATGATTATCAATGAGGAGTCGTTGCTGTTGTTTTTGCTTCTGTTTCGTTCCTTGCGCACTGCACACGGCGTGGTCGGGGAGATGTTCCCGGACGAATGCGGCGCCGTGCGGTGCGTGTGTGTGTGGGTGAGTGGGTGGGTGGGTGCCGCCCCAAATTGGAATATGTTGCACTTCCCTACCTTTTCTGTGCCTTCAATTTACGGTGGCAGAGATCCCCCGCACGACGCAACGTGGTGAAAGCCCAGTCTCGACACTAAATAATAATGTAAAAACAGGAGGAAAAAAAAAAGAAAGGCGACGGTCCCACACCTCGGCACGGGGGAGGGGGGGCAAAGTACGCCTTCAACACCGCCACGCCCCCCTTTTTTTTTTTTTTTCGTCACTAATTTTAATTGATGAGGAGATGCTGCCGTGGACCCGCCTGCTGGTGGGGGAGAGGGAGGAGGGGCACCGCAATGGACGTGTCGCTTTTCTTCACGGAAAGGCACGGCGGAGCGACCAAGTACATGGTGCACCTTCTATTATTATTCTTCCTTTTCTACTAGGGGAAAAGTAGGGCTTGGACTTCTTCGAGACGAAGAAGCAACGGCGAGCGACGGCAAATCGCAATCACTCGAGGTTATCTGTATTTTAGGGACAAAACTGAAGACGAAAAAGGTATATATATATATATATAACGGATTGAAAGGCCACTCAACAAAATTGTGAGAACGGCGAGGTAGAAACTTCTGCGAGATTGCAATTTTTTTTTTTTCATTTATTTGAAGGCGGCTGATTTTTTCCTTTTTTTTTAAAAAAAAAATTATTGCGTATTGACGGCATTGGGAAACTTCATTCGCGTCCCGTTGGAGGTGACTCTTGTCGATTCGTGCCTGCTCGCTCACGCCGTCTGTTTGTCATTGCCGGCATGGACGTGCTGTTCGACCTGTACACGGCCTTTCTGCCGGTGGACCGTAACTCCGTGTCCCACCAGCTTTTCACCTATTGGCTGATCCTCAGCACTGGGGGCGTTTTGCTCTACCTCTTCTCCGCCTCACTGTCAACGTTTATCTTTTTCGTCGAGTTTGAGGAGACGTACTTCCCCCGCACGATTGACAAGGGGAAGCACAAACAGGAGCTGCGACAACAGATGATTCATGAGATATTCATTGCCGTCACCTCCATTCCGTTTATTGCGGTGCTTATGGCGCCCGCCGCCACTCTCACACATCGTGGGTACAGCAAAATTTACTACAACGTGTCTGACTACGGCTGGTCATACCTCGTTTTAAGCGTCTTAATGTTCTTTGTATTCACAGACTTCATGGTGTACTGGTTTCACCGCGGCCTGCATCACCCGACCTTGTACAGGTATCTCCACAAGCTGCACCACACCTACAAGTACACCACACCCTTCTCCTCCCATGCGTTTAACCCGTGTGATGGATTTGGCCAGGGTGTGCCGTACTACATCTTTACCTTTCTCTTCCCCATGCACCACTACCTCTTTATTTTTCTCTTCTTTGCCGTCAACATGTGGACGGTCTCCATTCACGACCAGGTGGACTTTGGTGGGCACTTTGTAAACACCACCGGCCACCACACGATTCACCACGTGCTGTTTAACTACGACTACGGGCAGTACTTCACTGTGTGGGACCGCATCGGCGGAACCTACAAGCCGGCTTACCAGACGCATCGTCTTCCGCTATTCACGAAGGGCGGGCGCGTCGAGGACGACACGGCGACTAGGAAGAAACTGTGATCAACCAGAGGGCTCGCAAAAGCGGAGTCTTAGGAAACTAAAAATAAGGCAAAACGGTGTACATGCAGGCAAACGTATATACGATTATTTCCATGCATGTAATCCACATATGCTTATTGGGTTAATTTGTGGCGGTTGTAGCGGGCTGCTCTGGACAGGCGGCGTGCATTTGGGGGATTAGCTTCTTTTCTTGCATGCATACAATTTGAGCGCAGTTGAGGAGCTGCGGGCGGGGCCGGAAGTGAAATGTGCTCCCCGCGGCTCAATGGGGGAAGGACGAGCGGCCGCACCAACGGCAAAAGCCCCGAGGGGGGCTGAATCAAGGGGAAAACAAAAAGTATGTGTGTGTGTGTGTGTTGATGCGCAGCACAAGCAGTAGCTGTGGAAGGGTGCGATGAAATTAGGAGGTTGAAGTTGTGGCGAGCATCAAAAGTAAAGCGCATGAAGGACAAACAAGGGGGCGTAAACAAAAGTAGGAGAGGGAGGGGAGGGGAGGGATAGAGGTTAGGAAAGGGGAAAAACACGAAGTAAAACGGGTAGGAGACGAAGGAGTGACACACAACAGTTTGCGCTACGGAAGAAGAAATTGTGGGGGCAGGGCGGGGGTTTGATTTTTGTGTAGGCGCAGGGGATGCATTCGCCTCGCTCGCTCTGCATCCACACAAATCAAGCAAGAAGAAAAAGCAACAACAACAACAACAACAACAACAAAATCCCAATTGTTTACATGTGGCTTGTGCGCTTTTTTTTTTTTTTTTCGAGGCAGCGTGGGAGGCAAAATCAACAAGAAAAAAGGTGAAATGAATAAACAAAGAACAGGCGGGAGGCCACAGTGAAGACAAATTATCACGTGAGGGATGTTGTGAAATATATATATATATATTTCCGCCTCATTTATTTCTGCATTGTGTGGCTGTAGCCTAACGTGCCGCCTATGTGTGGTTTCCTCTGGCTGCCCCCTTTCTCTCTTTGTCTTTGTTTCGTTGTTGTTTGTTTCATTTCTGCTGTTCTTTTGCGCGTGCCGCTCCTGCTGGGATGCTTTTTTTTTTTCTTTTTTTTTTTCTGGGGCCTTTCGGAGGGAAGTTGCGGCTGGACGAGGCGAAAGAAGTCTCGTAGGGTGTTTGGGTAAGTCCCCCTGTGGGTTTGTTTTTTGCTTGTGTTTTATTTGTTTCGAGGGTGTGTTGGAGCATGGCGGGAGTGCGGTTTCTTCGTTGTTTTTTATGCTGCCACTGCCGCTTCTCCATGCGGGAGTGCAGGAGCCCGGCTGTTGCGGGGGACCACAGACGGCCACTGTGCGGGCTTCCAACGAGAGCTGGGTTGGCATACATATATATGTCCTTTTAGACATTTTTTGTTTGTTTGTTGTTGGTGGTGTGGTGAGTGCACGGGATAAGTTTTTCTTTGGAATGAAGCGGGGGTGGAGGGGATATCACGTGCACGGGGATGAACTGTAATCCCCCATTGCAGGGCTCTCCCTCTTTGTAGGGATATGGACAGCCGGACTCCACCCTGTCACATATTCTGTTTCTAGGTCTCTCCCTTTTTTTTCTTTCTCTCTCTCTCTATTTGTGGTGTGAACTTTTGCGAAGTCGTCGTCTTATCATTTCCCCACTGACTGCGTGTGGGGCCTGCCTGTTGCTCTTCGCGCATTTCCCTTTTGTTTTTGTTTTCTTTTTTTCATGTGCAGCGCTTGTTGCCGCTGTGGCGTATTGTTGTTGCTTCTCGCCTTCTTTGTGTGCGTATGTGCCTCTCACTAGAGTGTGGAATAACCTCTGCCTGTTGCTTTCTCTCTTTTTCTCTCTGCCTGGATGTGATCTGCGTGTTTGTCGCGTGCGGCTTGAGTAAAGCCTTCAGCACAGAGGAAAAAAAAAGGACACACACAAACAGCGCGTGTGCGTCTGTGTGTCTGTGTGTGCGACGTTGCGCAGGCGGTGGCATATACGACTGGACGCACGCACAGAGGCGGTGGCCAGCCGGTGCACAACGTAGAAGGGAAAAGCAGCCAAGAAAGAAAGAAAAAACAAAAACAAAAACAAATAGACAAAAAGAGGGATTTGTCCTTGGCAAGTCAGTAGGTGGTGTTGTGTAACGACAAGACCCCACTTGAGGGAAGTAGCGAACAGGGGGTAGGGCCACAGCGGGAGGAGTAAAGTATAGAGGGCCCCACTCATCCACCCGTGAAGGGGGGAAGCAAAGGAGCCAGCGGCAAGGAAATACACACACACACACACAAGAGGGAATATAAATAAGGAGGGCTCTGGTGAGGACAAATGTCGTTTGGTGTGAAGTTTGACTTGGCAGAGCACGGGGTGGTCCCGGAGAGTCATCCTGAGTGCACCGAGTGGGTGCTGCAGCGACTGCAGGCGGAACTGTGTTTTGATGTGAAACACGTCACAAGCAAGCAACTCCGCCTCATCAATGAGTTTCTTGTCGGGGATGAGGAGCTTCACACAATCTTTTGCTACTACCGCGCGGTTGCGGCGGAGTACGTCGCGGATGGTGACGAGGGATCCTTTGTGCTGAAGACAGAGAGTGTGTCAATGGTGCCGGAGTTGTGCATCGTTGACGGGGTTCGGGGCCTCTCGGAGCGTGCCACAGTGAACGACATGTGCACGGACGTGCTGTATTTTGTGCGGCTTGACCCCGACCGTTTGATTGTGCCGGAAAACATTGACAACTCCGTTGTGTGGGGCACATGTCGTGGGGGAAATATGCTGGAGTCGTTGCTGCGCACACTGCAGTTTGTGCTCACGCCCACGCTGCTGCGTAATCGGTGGCCCGACAGCATTGAGAAGGATGTGCACTCATCGCTGCACCGCTTCATGGCATCCATGGTAGAGAACATCAATCGACTGCGCGGACGTACCGTGCTGTACGTCCCAAGCGACCTTGCCACAGGAATAGCAGTCGAAGAGGCCCACCTCGACCGCGAAATTGTTCAGCGGTTTGAGGCTGCGGCGATTCATTGGACGCGGCAGATCAAAGAGGTCGTTGGTGACAAGGACGTTGGCCTCAACGGAGACGCCGCAGGACCATTGGAGGAGATCGCCTATTGGCGTTCCCGCGCTCGTGACTTGGGAAACATCCGTGCCCAGCTGAATCGCCCAGATGTTTCTGGTATCGTGCAGGTGTTGCGGGAAGCAAAGTCCTTCTACTACTTGGAACCCTTCCTGAACCTGCGTGCGGATATTGAAAAAGGCACCGAGGAGGCGTTTGACAATCTGCGCTTTTTGAACACACTGCTGGAGCCATGTACGAAGCTGTCCAAGGCCAGTCCAAAGGAGATTCCAGCGTTGATTCCTGATGTACTTATTCATGCTCAGCTTATCATGATTTACTCAAAAAGCTACAAGAAGGAACGCTTTTTCCGTCTCCTTCGCATGATCTCCAATGAAATTATTTACCGCTGCAGCCAGAAGATTGATGTCCCGGCCATTCTTAACGGGGACGTCGCCGACAGCATGGTGGCGCTGCAGGACAGCGTCACTGCGGGGGAGGCATGGATTCGCGAGTGCCACAAAATGCTTGCAGCCACGCGTAAGCGATTTCGGGTGGATAGGGGCGATAAACTTGACATTGATGAATCCTTTTTAAATGAAATCGATGGATTTGTGCGGCACCGCTGCCAGAACTTGCATGAAATTTGTAAAGCGCAGCTGCAGTTTGGGTTTAAGGGCGTTCACTATGAACAAAGGCGGAGTGGCGAGCGCATTGGTGCGAGTCGCCATGGACGCAACTCACGCATTGGCTCCTTGGCAGAAAACCGCGCCGTTGGTGGTGACGCCCACTACGGTGTACCCATTGAGGTGAAGGAGCTGGACCAGCGGACAATGACTCTGGCTGAACTTTTCACTGGACGACTCCCCATCTTCAGCGGCAACCGCGGACCCGAGATTGAGTCGCAGCTTGTGGATATTCAGCGGGCTTTTAAGGCCAAGATGGAGATGCTGCGTCATCTAGACTACGACATCCTTGACGTCAAGTCTACGCGCTGGGTCGACGACTTTCGTGCACTGAAGGTGGACATTGACAATCTCTCCATGATGCTGCAGCAGATCATAGCGGTGGCCTTTGACAGCTTCAGCACAACCGAGATGGGGGCGGAGTACATTGAGGCCTTCTACATGGTAGCACGGGGAGAGGAGTTGCTGCTGCAGCTGGATCGAAGCAAGGATCGTGTCTTTCGCATGGTTGGGGCAGGTGTCTCACTGGTGCAGGGGAATCTTCAACGATATTTTAATAAACCACCACCTATTTTTTACCTCCACCCTCCACTTGTGGGGCACGCCATGTGGTTCGAGAACCAGGCCCGCTTCTTGGAGAGTAGTTTGAGCGAGCTGAGACACTGCTACTACCTGCGTGATTCGCCGGAGTCGTCAGAGGTTGCGCTACTCCATGACCGCCTTGATCGCTCCCTGTACGAAAAGGTGCGGCAGAATTACCTGGAGTGGAAGAATAACTTGCCAGCAAACCCCAGCGAGTACCTGGATCGCTTTCTTATCACCAAGCGTCTGAGTAGCGTCAAGAGCGCGTCTACGCTCTACGATGTAAACTTTCCATCGGAGCTGCTTCTTCTTTTTGCGGAGACGCGTTACTGGCAGAGCTTGGGTGAGGTCATTCCGGCACAAATCTCTGACATTGTCTCCAAGGAGGAACGTCTGCGTGTGTTCCGCGAACACGTCTCGCTGGCAGTGCGGGCGCACAACAACGTGGTGCTTTCACTGACGAAGGAGGAGTGCCGTCTGTTTGCGCAGCGGCTGAGATTTCTGGAGAGCAAATACATGCCCGGCATGTCGCGCCTGTGGTGGAACTCCCAGGGTATTGTGGAGTACTTTGTGCGGGAGTGCCACCAGCAGGCGGAGCGGGTGCAGCACATCGTGGATGAGTTTAAGTACAGCATTGAGTACGTGGATCACCACTGCAAGGCGATTGCCAACACAGTCGCCGTCATCTTTGAGAAGAAGCGTGTATACACCATTGAAGCCTTTGTGGAGAAGCAGCAGAAGCACCGTGAGGTGGTGCTTGAGAAGCTGCAGACTATTCATCAGCGGCTAGTACGTAAACTGTACGAGCTGCTGGGGTACTTTCGCGATGACTACATGGAGGATGTGGCTGTGCAGAGGGAGTGGCACCGGCACATCGGCAAGGTGGAGCTCAAGGTGGAGGAGGCGCTGCGGACGATGGTGAAGCGCACCTTGCAGGCGGTTGAGCGTGCGTTGCCGCAAGAGCCCTCCGACGACCGCATAGAGGAAAAAGTATTTAGGCTCGACGTTGTTATTGCCGTGACAAACAGCACCAAGCCGCACATTGAGTCTGTCCCCTCAGTGGAGGTGCTGAGCCACCAGGTGAATGGGGTCTGCAAGGAGATTATTGGCATCGTGAAACATATCCCTCGCCTGGAGGAAAGTCTCCGCGCCTGCATCGCCAAAGAGAACGCGACGGAGAACGAGTCCCTTACGCGCACAACACTCCGGTACGTGAACCCGAGCGAGGATAGCGTGGCCCTGCGCGGCACCTACTTTGAGTACATGACGAGCGAGCAGGACGCCATTTACTCTCTGTGCCGTATTCGTGAGTCCTTTGAGGCCGTTGAGGAAAAGGTTCGCGACAAACTGAGCCAAACGTGGCAGCTGCATCAATCTGGCACGACGGACAGCCTGTGGACGACGCAAAAGCAGGATCGTCGTATCAAGCAAGGCTGGAAGCTTGAGGATTACCGAGTTCATATGGACCACGTGGCCCAACGGCGCGAGGGCATCAACAAGCAAGAGACCTTCTCGGATGTCCTCTTTCTACAACTGGACTTCACCAAGATGAAGGATAGCTTCCGGGTGCAGTGCCAGCTGGTGATCAAGCACTACCACAGCCTGCTTTACGCGGATGCCAAGGAGGAGTTGAACCGCATCTACAACCACTTCAGCACGACCGTGCAGGCACTGACGAAGGAGCCGCAAACGTTAGACGAGCTTGAGGAACAGATCAAAAGGTGCACCTCCGCTGTGGAGTCACTGCCAGAAATTTCTGCAAACTTTGAACCCATTACTGATACGTTTGTGCTCATCACAAACGACCTCTACAACCACGGCAACGTGAACCGCGAGGACGTGCGCCGCTGCGAGGAGTTGCCGGCGGCCTTTGAGGAGTACTCGGAGCAGCTTGTCAAGGCACGGCAGCTACTAGCCAAGTATAAGGAGCAGTTCCGCAATGACTTGGAAACAGACTTGCGTGCGCTGGTGTCAAACTCCTACGCACTGCGGCAGAAGGTGCGGGACGAGGGCCCAAGGTTGTACAGTTTCTCTACAGCAAACGCCTTTGCCCAGCTGGGCACCCTTGATCGCCGCGCCAGTGAGCTACGGGAGACGGAGAAGGCGCTGCAGCAGGGGATTAACATATTTCACCTGGAAAAACCCCCACTGGATGAGCTTGTGGCTGCAGAGGTGGATCTGAAGGTGCTCCGCACGATTTGGGAGTTGTGTGAGGAGTGGCGCACTGAGAGCCGCAAGTGGCGCACCATGTATTTTATGCATTTGAATAGTGACACCATGCTTGACGTCTCCGAGCGCATCCGGCGGGAGCTGCTGCGACTGCGGATGGAGCTGCAGATGACCGATGTCTGGGCGAAGCTGAAGGAGGAGGTGGAGCTCATGAAGCGGCTGCTACCGATTGTGGACGACCTCCGAACGCCAGCGATTCGGCCCCGCCACTGGCAGTTTTTGAAGGTTCAGCTTGACGCCAAGTTTGACATCTCGGACGAGAAGTTCTGCTTGAATGACTTGATGGAGGCACGTGTGGAGGCGCACGCGGAGTTTGTTGTGAACCTCGCCACCTCTGCCCGTGAGGAGATGAAGATTGAGATGGACCTGGATAAGATCCGCACCTTTTGGGAGGATGCAGCCTTTGTGATTGAACCCTACCAGGACTACAACAAGATCACTGGCGTGGACGACATCAACAACGCTCTCGCGGAGCACCTGGCGATGCTGAGCTCGATTAAGATGTCACGATTTGTGGACAGTTTTCGGCCTAAGGTGGTGCAGTGGGAGCAGGTACTCTCCATCGCAACCGACACGATTGAGGCACTCCTGTTGGTGCAGACCAAGTGGATGTACCTGGAGAACATCTTCATCGGCAGCGAGGACATCAAGCGCAAACTCGCCGCTGAGTCGAAGAAGTTTGAGGGGGTGCACTCGCAGTGGATCTCCATCATCATGCGCCTCATCACTGACCCGAACGTGGTGCGAGGCACGCGACGAGACGGGCTGATGGATCAGCTGAACGGCATGAACAGCGATCTCGAGGTGATACAAAAGGGGCTTGAGGGCTTCCTCGAGGATCGCCGCCGCGTGTTCCCCCGCTTCTACTTTTTGTCCAACGATGATCTGCTGGAGATTCTTGGCCACACAAAGGAGCCCGCAAAGGTGCAGCCTCACCTGCGTAAGTGCTTCGAGGGGTTGTATCGCCTCTCCCTCAATACGGTGCGTAGCCGGATTGTCGCCGAAGGTATGTCCTCCTCCGACGGTGAGTCGATAGCGTTTGTACCCTACGTCCAGGTTGAGGGGCTGTCGGTGGAGACCTGGCTGCGACGGGTGGAGCTGAAAATGCGGGAGATGGTGCAGAAGCGCATCAACGCCACCTTGGATGATCTGCAGAGCATCTTTGATCCAAAGCGGCCTACTTCTAGGGATAACTTAAAAGCATGGGTCGAACGTAACGAGGGTCAGTCACTCATCACCTCAGCCTGCATCAACTGGACACTCCTGACAGAGCTCGCCATCATGGAGTATGGGGAGTTACACAGCAATGGTCTCAGCCTGCAGCGTCGAAAGGCCTCCCCTCTCTACAAGGTCTACAAGCGATGGAAAGGGCTTATCAAAAGGTACTGCCAGCTTGTTCGTCAGCCACAAAGTCGCATGCAACGTAATAAGTTGGTCGCACTCATCACAATTGAGGTACACTCACGGGATATTCTCCGACAAGTGCTGGCGTCGCGTGTGCATCAGGTCGACGACTTTGAGTGGTCACGGCAGCTACGTTTTTACAGGGAGGATGGTGACACAGCGGAGCGCCCCCAGGACGCACCGAAGGTGTGCATCGTGCGACAGACCTCTGCGGTGGTGCGCTACGACTATGAGTATCTTGGTAACAGCGGGCGTCTTGTCGTCACAGGACTCACAGACCGTGCATACATGACGTTGACGACGGCGCTGCAGCTGCATCGCGGGGGTCTTCCGCAGGGACCTGCAGGGACTGGCAAAACAGAGACGGTGAAAGATCTTGGGAAAGCGCTTGGCAAGTATGTCATGGTGTTTAACTGCTCAGATGGTCTGGACTACAGGTCGGTGGGGCGCATGTTGAGTGGCATTGCCCAAACAGGCTCCTGGTCCTGCTTTGACGAGTTTAACCGTATTGAGGTGGAGGTGCTGTCTGTGGTGGCCCAGCAGGTACTGTCTATTCTCAGCGCTGTGGCGGAGCGGAAGAGTCGATTTATGTTTGAGGGCTCTGACATCGCACTCAACATGAACTGTGGGTTGTTTGTCACAATGAACCCCGGCTACGCGGGTCGTTCCGAATTACCTGACAACCTCAAGGCGTTGCTGCGCCCCATCTCCATGATGGTACCGGACTTTGCACTTATTTGCGAAATCACGTTACTCTCCGAGGGCTTTGAGGAGTCGGAGGTCCTCTCAAAGAAGGTGTCTATCCTGTACGAGTTGATGGAGAAGCAGCTGTCCAAGCAGGACCACTACGACTTCTCGCTTCGCAACATCAAGGCCGTGCTGGTGCAGGCAGGTAATTTGAAGCGCGAGGACTTTCCCGGGACGGAGTCGCAGCTCTGCCTCAAGGCTATGCGAGACATGAATCTGCCCAAGTTTGTTAAGGAGGACGTTCCCTTATTTGTCAGCATGTTGAGTGATCTCTTCCCTGGGGTGCATCCGGAGGACAGTGGCCTGGACGACCTACGGGATGCTGTAGAGAAGGAGCTTGAAGACGAGGGCCTTGAGATGAATGCACACATCGTGACCAAAGCCCTGCAGCTGTGGGATACCCTCCGAACACGTCATGGTGTGATGGTTGTGGGGCAGACAGGCTCCGGGAAAACGGTGACGTGGCGCAGCTTGAGTGGGGCTCTGCGGCTGCTGAAGGAGCGTGGTGTGGAACCTGGCTTGTATGAACCGGTGCGTGTCTCTCTCTTAAACCCCAAGTCGGTGACGATGGATGAGCTGTACGGCAGCTACAATCAGGCCACACGGGAATGGAAGGATGGAATTCTCTCAGACATCATGCGAAGCATCTGTCGCGATGTGTCAGACCCAACGTACAAGTGGATGATGTTTGATGGCCCTGTAGACACACTCTGGATTGAGTCCATGAACACGGTCCTCGACGATAACAAAATGCTAACCCTGAACTCTGGCGAACGCATCACTTTAAACCCGACCATACGCATGCTGTTTGAGGTGCAGGACCTCTCCCAGGCCTCCCCTGCCACTGTCTCGCGTTGCGGCATGGTCTACTTCAACGTGGAGGATCTTGGCTGGCAACCGTTTGTAAAGACGTGGCTGAAGTCTCGCTGGAAGTTCGAGATTGCCATGGGCGCCCCACGGCCAGATGAAACCATTCAGGAGCTGGAGGAGTACATCAAGACAACCGTGACCCGCGTGCTGGAGTACCGCCAGATGGAGTGCGAGGAGCTTTTCCCTACCTCATCGTTGAACGTCATTCGCTCCTTTACACGTATGTTTGACGCATTGGCAAACGTGGAAGCCGCCCCATGTGTCCCCGGTGGTGCCACATACGCCACCTTCCACGCTGGGGATATGTACCTGCCGCAGGTACGCATCATGGCAACCTTTTGTCTTATGTGGTCTGCCGGTGGTGCACTCACCGTGGAGTCGCGCCAGAAGTTAGACGCATTTATCCGTGAGTTGGACTCGTCCTTCCCCTCTACGGAGACGATCTTCGAACACTTTCCCGACCTTCGTGTGGCTCAGTGGAAGAACTGGAACAATCACACGGACCTGCAGAAGCCGTACGTGCCCCCGCCAGAGACCCCCTACCACCGGCAGATTGTCCCAACGGTGGACACAGTGCGGTATCAGTACATCGTTGGAGAGCTGGTGCGGGGTCAGGTGCAGTTGGTGCTGGTCGGCACCACAGGCACGGGGAAGTCTCTCACTGCGCGTCAGGTGTTGCGCGGTCTCAGCACTGACACCCATGTCTCCACGCAGCTGAACTTCTCCGCTCAGACCACGGCAAAAAATGTGCAGGAGATTATTGAGGGGCGTATGGAGCATAAATCCAAGAAGGTCTGTTGTCCACCAGGTGGTCGTCGCATGATTTGCTTCGTCAAGGACCTTAACATGCCAGCGAAGGAGAAGTTTGGTGCCCAACCCCCGTTGGAGTTGCTGCGGCAGTGGATCGACAATGGATATTGGTACGACTGCAACACACGTTCGCGGCGGAAGGTGAATGACTTGCAGCTTCTCTGCTGCATGACTTATGGACGGCCAGATATCACCCCTCGTTTGATGACGAAGCTTAACGTGTTGAACATCACTTTCCCGTCGGAGTCGGTTATCACGAAAATCTTTACTGAAATCCTCTCAAATCGCCTAGAGAAGTACCCTGAGCTGCACAAGTTTGTGGACGCCCTTGTGAAGGCAACGCTGCAGACGTATCAGCGCGTTTCTAGCGATTTACTGCCCATTCCAAGCAAGTCGCACTACCTGTTCAACCTTCGTGACCTCAGCAAAGTCTTCCAGGGTATCTACGGCTGCTATATGGAGGGGCTTCAGTGCAAGGAGCACATAGTCGCACTGTGGGTGCATGAGTGCTTGCGTGTCTTTTCCGATCGCATGAATGACCCCAATGATAAGCAGTGGTTCCGCAACCTCATCCACGAGAAACTCGCTAACATCTTCCAGATGAAATGGAGCAGCATCATGCGGGCACGCTCGCGCGAGGCACGCTTGCAACCACTGAACGAGAACGAAAGTCCAATTTTTGTAGACTTCTTGGACGGGGAGTATGACGAGATGGCGAAGTATAAACTTGTGCCATCCATGGAAACCCTCCGTGAGAAGGTGGAGGAGTGGCTGGAGCTGTTTAACGGCGAGCCCGGCACACAGCAGATGAATCTTGTCTTCTTCACAGACGCTCTGGAGCATCTTTGCCGCATTCACCGCATTATTCGTTTGCCGCGCGGCAATGCTCTTCTCGTTGGGCTTGGCGGCAGTGGTCGCTACTCCCTCACTCGCCTTGCCACGTACCTCGCCGGCTACACCATCTTCTCTGTGGAGATCCACAAGAAGTACGACTCGGACCGCTTTCACGAGGACCTGCGCTCCCTCTACAAGGCGTGTGGGCTGAGGCTGCAGCAGAAAGTTTTTTACTTTTCCGACAACCAGATCATGCAGCCGTCGTTTCTAGAGGACCTGAATAACATGCTCTCCACCGGCGAGGTGCCCAACCTCTTTCAAAAGGATGAGTTGAATAATATCCGCGACGCCGTTTTTAAGGAGGCGATGTTGAGTGGGTGTCGCGACAGCATCGATGAGATTTACAACTTCTTTATTGACCGTGCCAGGCTGAATCTGCATCTGGTGGTTGCGATGTCCCCAGCGCATAAACTGTTTCGCATTCGTCTTCGCCAATTTCCAGCTCTCGTCTCATGTACGTCGATCAACTGGTTTGCAAAGTGGCCGAACGAGGCGCTGCGGGAGGTGGGTCTACGCTACCTGAAGGAAACACGCGAGAACACAGAGGATGATGTTGTGTTGGAGGAAATCGCGGACGTCTTTGTACACATGCACGACACCACTAGTACCATATCGCAGGAGATGCTGGAGCAGATTCATCGCTACAACTACGTAACCCCATCCTCCTACCTCGACCTGGTGCGCGGGTTTCGCAAGCTGCTGAGACAGCAGCGGGATGAAATTCTTGAGCAGCGTGACAAGCTGAAAAACGGTATGGCAAAGCTTGAGGAGACCAAACTTGCCGTGGGGAAAATGACGGAGGAGCTAAAAGTGCAGGACGCAAAGTTGCAGGAGAAGACCGAGGAGGTGAATCGGGCCACGGAGAGTATTCAAATTCAGCAGCAAAACGCAGAGGAGCAGCAGAGTTTACTGGCCTCAGAGAAGGTGAAGATTGAGCAGACAAAACGGTCCGCGTTAGCGGATCAGGCGGAGGCGCAGGCAGATTTGGATCGGGCGATGCCAACCCTCCTTGAGGCGCAGGCGGCGCTGGATAAACTTGACAAGAATGATATCAACGAAATTAAGTCCTACAAAACACCCGCAGTAATGATTCGAACGGTGATGGAGGCGGTGCAGACGACACTGCGACGCAAACTTGACTGGGATGAGGCGAAGAAGTCTCTTAGTGAGGCCAAATTTATTGACATGCTTAAACACTACCACGAGAACAACGACATGACGGATCAAAGGCTGCTTGACAAGATTGAGAAATACGTGAAACGCCATGAATTTACTCCAGAGGCAGCAAGCGTGGTATCTAAGGCCGCTGGTGGGTTGTGCCAGTGGGTGATTGCCATTCACAAGTACGGCAACATCTACAAGGAGGTTCATCCAAAGATACTAAAGAACGAAAACGCCCAGCAGAAGGTGCGAGCGCAAGAGGAGATGCTGCGACAGAAGGAAGAAAAGCTGCAGCGTATTGTGGATGAGGTGAAAAAGCTTGAGATTGCCTTGCAGTTAAACATTGATGAAAAGACACGCCTCATGGCGGAGGCAAAGGAGACCCAGGCGAAACTTAACCGTGCTTGCATCATCGTTGACGGCCTTGAAGGCGAACGGGATCGCTGGACCGAGTCGATCGCCCGCTATGAGGCGGCACTGGGAAATCTCGTAGGCGACACACTGCTTGCCTGCGGCTTCCTCTGCTACTCCGGCGCCTTCACCGCGGAATACCGTCTGAAGCTGTGGCACAGCTGGATCAAGGAGATTAAGCGGATGCAAATTCCCATGACACAGGGCTTTGACTTTGTGGACTTTCTCGCCGACCCCACGGAGGTGCGTGATTGGCAGCAGGCGGGACTCCCGGGTGATGACTTTAGCCGAGAAAATGGTGCTGTGGTGATGCGAGGCACTCGGTGGCCGCTCATGATTGACCCGCAGCAGCAGGCGATCAAGTGGATCAAGCGTATGGAGAAGGACTGCGGGCTGAAGGTGATTGACCAAAAACAGCCCGATTTCCAGAAGACGGTGGAGTACGCGGTGCACTTTGGGTGCCCCCTGCTGCTGCAGGATATCATGGAGGACATCGACCCTGTGCTCGACTCCGTTCTTGCCAAGGCGTTTGTGCGACGGGGAACCAGGACGATGCTGAAGGTTGGGGACAACTTCGTGGAGTACAACGAGAACTTCAAGCTGTACATCACGACCCGTCTCTCGAACCCGCACTACACGCCGGAGACATGTACGAAGGTCTGCCTGCTGAACTTTGCGGTGCGGGAGTCGGGGCTGGAGGAGCAGCTGCTGAAGATTGTTGTGGAGAAGGAGAAGCCGGAGCTGGAGCACGAGAATGAGGAGCTGATTCTTGACACGGCGGCGGCGAAGAAGGAGACCAAGCGTCTTGAGGACGAGATCTTAGATCTTCTCTCCACCTCGCAGGTCTCACTGCTAGAAAATAAGAAGCTCGTTGACACACTGCAGTCCTCTAAGGTGATTGCCGCAAATATTAAGCAACAACTAAAGGAGGCGGAGGTGACGTCGGAGAAAATTCAAAGTGCGCGTGAACAGTACCGTGAGTGCGCTCGCCGTGCCTCCATTTTGTACTTTGTGTTGGCTGATCTTGCCTCCATTGATGCCATGTACCAATTTGCCTTAGACTCGTACATCATTCTCTTCCAGGGCAGCATTAAGCGCTCGGCGGAGAAAATATCCACGTACACGCTGGAGGAACGTGTCGTAACGCTCAACGACTGGCACACAAACGCAGTGTACGCAAGCGCCTGTCGTGGACTCTTTGAGAAGCACAAATTACTCTTTGCGTTTCACATGACGATGCGCATTTTACAGGCTGAGGCTCGTGTGAACCTGGAGGAATATGTCTTTCTTATGCGTGGGGGGCAGGTGCTTGACAACCAGGGTCGCCTGCCAAACCCTGCACCATCGTGGCTCTCCGAGCGTGCGTGGAGCCACATCCTCGAGCTGGACAAACTGACGAACTTCCACGGCATCGCCACATCCTTTGAGCAGGCGCATGAGTCCTGGCATGAATGGTTTGTGCAGGAAAACCCTGAAGATGCAGACTTGCCGGAGGAGTGGAAGGCGCGCACCGCGGATAACTACATTCAACGCATGATATTTGTTCGTTGCCTTCGCCCAGACCGCGTCATTTTTATGGTGTATGAGTTTATTGAGAAGCAGCTTGGCTCCCAGTTTGTGGACCCCCCACCATTCAACCTGAAGGACACCTTTGACGAGAGCACCAACGTCGTGCCACTTGTGTTTGTGCTTTCGCCGGGTGTGGATCCCACGACCCAGTTAGCCTCACTCGCTCAGCGGGAAAACAAACATCTGAAGATGCTGGCACTTGGCCAAGGTCAGGGCGAAAACGCCAAGCGGGCGATTCAGGAGTGCGCACAGAACGGTGGGTGGGTTTTCCTGGCGAACTGTCATTTGATGGTGTCGTGGCTGGTGGAGCTGGAGAAGATCGTTGATGACTTGTCGGAGCAGCGGCCGCATGACGCGTTTCGCCTGTGGCTCAGTTCTGTGCCGACGCCTCACTTCCCGATTGGGATCCTGCAGCGGGCAATTAAGATGACGACGGAGCCTCCAACGGGCATCAAGTCCAACATGATGCGTCTCTACAATCAGTTCTCGGAGGAGCAGTTCGTGGAGCACGCCGGCGAGCACCCAAACTTCTACCGTAGTCTTCTCTTTGCGTTGTGCTTCTTCCACTCCGTGCTGCTTGAGCGGCGCAAGTTTGGGAACCTTGGCTACAACGTGGTGTACGACTTCACCACCTCTGACTTTGAGGTGTCAGAGAACATTATCTCGCTCTACGTTAACACGATGCCATCAGACCGTGTGGAGGACATCCCCTTTGTCACGATTCGTTACCTCATTGCGGAGGCTTCTTACGGTGGCCGCGTCACCGACGACTGGGACCGGCGTGTGCTCAACACCTACATCACCCAGTTCATGTGTGAGGCGATTATCACGGAGGAGCGCTACCCGCTTTCTTCGGCCGCTGAGTACTACATTCCGAATGAGGCCGTGAATCTGCAGTCGTACAAAGATGAGTGCATGCAACTGCCCATCACAGACCCTCCAGAAGCCTTTGGACAACACGCAAACGCCGACATTTCAAGTCGTGTGGCGGAGTCAACGATGTTGCTAGAAAACCTTATCAGCGTGAACACAACACTGGCACGTTCTGGTGGCGCAAGTATAAACTCGGCAAAGGCGGTTTCAGATGAATTACGCTGCCTCAAGATTCTCGCCTCGTTGGAGGAACCGAGCACAGCCGCCATCCCCAACCTCATTGATTATGACGCGGTGTACGAGTCCGTCAAGGATGACACCCACAATGCCCTTAACACGTGTTTGTTGCAGGAGATTCAGCGGTATAACGTGCTGCTGCGCAAGATTCACGCTCAGAAGGTTGAGCTTCGCCGTGCGGTGAAGGGTGAGGTGGTGATGAGTGATGAACTTGAAACGGTGTTTAATGCGCTCCTGCTGGGTCGTGTCCCGCCACCGTGGACAAGCGCGTACCCAAGTGTGAAGCCTCTTGCGAGTTGGTCGGTAGACCTTGTGGAACGCGTAGATCAGATGAAGCAGTGGGGACAACGCGTGCCAAACGTCTTTTGGCTCTCCGGGTTCACGTACCCGACGGGCTTCCTGAAGAGCCTGCAGCAGCAGCAGGCGCGGCACGACCACATCTCCATCGACCAGTACACCTGGGAGTTTATCGTTCACCCGAGTGACGAGCGCACCGTCGTACACCGCGCCAAGAAGGGGGCGTATGTTAGGGGCATCTCTCTTGAGGGTGCCGGGTGGAATGTGGAGACAAACACGCTGTGTGAGCCCCGCCCGCTGGAACTCATCGTGCCTATGCCGATTATTCACTTTAAGCCCAAGCTGCGGGACAACAAGCCACGCTCGCCGTCGATATACGAGTGTCCACTGTACATGTACCCGGTCCGCACTGGCACGAGGGAGCGGCCATCCTTTGTCGTGGCTGTGGACCTTCCCTCCGGCGAGGCGGTGCCCGACCACTACACTAAGCGGGGCACGGCGTTGCTGCTCTCCACGGACGAGTAATTGACAGGCGTATGTGTGTGTGTGTGGGAAGGGGGGGCTTTGCGCGGAAGAGGGAGGTGAATAATAACCAAAAAAGAAAACGAGGAAGGAGATAACAATAGCCGGCATGACATGCGTGAAGGCGCGTGAGCGGCGAGATAGAGAGGGAGTAAAAGTAGGAGGAACCAAAAAGAAGGAAGAACGCAGGTAAGTGGTGACCACGCACACGCATATATATATATATATATATATATATATATA